AATTTTTGGTGAACGTAACGTGCGGATTGCCGTAAAGTTTTGACTTTAATGAATTCATCTGACTAATATCCTCATCTTCACTGCATTCTTTATCAAAAAAAATAAAAATAAATCAAACAACGGAGATGCAAATCTTAGTCACAATCAACTAATGACGCACTCACTCACTGGATCAGACAAAAAACCCCGGATACTTTCTATAATAGATTCTTACTTTTATATATACAGTGTGTAACAAAAATACTTTTACAAACTTTGGAGGCAGCTTCCTCACACCAAGACAAGGACAAAATTCCATATAAATATATGTTCACAAATCTTTTGTTTTTGAGTTATTAAGTTTAAAGAACGTTTACGGTAGATGACGCTCTGTTGCCATATAGACTAGGTTACATTTGTCATTCGTGTACATTTGTGGCTAGTCTGTCTTCAACATTTAACGTGTGTAGTAGTGAGTTAACTGAGAAGTATTCTGTTTAACAATGACAGGATATTCATATTGTGAGCAGGCAGATATGATTTTTACATATGCCCGTGCGAATACTAATGAATGCGAGGCTGCACGACTATTTCAGATTGTGTTTCTAGACCGAAGGCAGCCGAGTCATCCAATCTTTGCTGCTGTTTATCATCGTGTTGCTGAGACAGGAACCGTGGCATCACAGACTATAGATCGAGTTAGGCCGAAATCCGATCGTACACCTGAATGACAATCCAGGTATCAGCACACGTCAAGTGGCCCTAGAATGTCGTACCTATCATAGTACCACATAAATGGTACTTCAATAGCAGCTCCTGTATCGGCATAATTTGCAACATTTTCAGGGTCTTTCATCTTCTGTTCACTCACTACGGGAGAACTTTTGCCCATCGCTTATTGCACAATCCGTTGTTTGCCTCTTCAATCTTGTTTACGGATGAGGCAACATTTGGAAGAGATGGAATAACAAATTTACACAACCGGCATTTGTGGGCGGATCGGAACCCCATTGTACCATACAGGCTAGACATCAGCACCAGTTTACGATGTGGGATGAATTATAAATAGATCTATATGTAACACGAAAATTATATAATATATATATATATATATATATATATATATATATATATATATATATATATATATATATATATATATATTATATACATTAAAATAATTATTTTATTTAATTTTTTTTTGTCGTATGTTTTTATGCTAATTTTAGTTTTTAATCTTTATTTTTTTTTGCAATAAATATATTTCTTTGTCATATCCTCTTCAGCCAATGCACCCTGAAGAGCCGTTTAGAATGAAACCTAGAAATCCTAGGATATATATATTTATATATATATATATATATATATATATATATATATATATATGATATATATTTATACACGTTTCATTAAATAATATAGATATTTATTTTTTTAAAAAATATATATTTGATATATTAAACGAAGAAAAGAAATATATATATAATATAATCTAAACTTTCGGCTTACTTATATATAAATATATTAAACAATATATACAGTGATGATAGTCTGTCATTGTTTACATTGGATCACTAAGGTACGATATATATATATATATATAATCATTTTCACTACAAGCAACAATAAAGCCACTAAGGTGCAAGGTGTTAGTGAATGTTATCGAATATAAAAAAAAATATTATTAAGAAGAGAGAACGAAAAAAAGAAGAATTACGAAGACAGAAGATAACGATTAACAGAAAGAAGAGAAATTTAAACAACAATTGATATTGCATTTAAATTTTTGAAGACCAAAGTTGACTGAGAAGTCAGAAGCCGGAAGAGGGTTCAACAAGCGAGATGTACGATAGAAGAAATTGTTGGCATAGAACTTACGGTTACATATAGCCAAAATGGTGAGACCTAGCCGACAAACTAGGATTGCTTTTAAATTCATAAAATCCAATTACCATAGAGGAAAGTACAATTCCCTGTGAAAAGTGGCCGATCACAACTAAAAGTTTTATGCGTTTTCACACAATCATTGGGCTGTCAGCTCTTTACACTATTTACATCATTCGGGCTTTGGTCCTCATCTTTATTGCCATATTCATGACGTTTCGGCAATTGTATGCACGAACCTTCTTCAGGTGATATACGTTGGAAATTCGAACCGAACCCCTTTATTTAGTCCACGCGGGTAGATTGTTCTAATTCCACATGCCTTTGTCGATATCTCAGTATCAGTTAATTACCTTTAATGACTCGACTCTCCTATTGTGGGCAGGTAATGAACTCAAGACTCTTTGGGTCAAGTCACTTTTTGGATTACTCAACCAATGCTTTCATCCACTGGGCCATCAATGAAATAATTTTTTTGACTTATAAACCTTGAGATATCCCAAATAGGCATGATGCGTGGAATTAGAACAGTCTAACCCCGCTGTAGAATTTGATTTGAAATTCCATCGTATATCACCTGAAGAAGGCCCGAGCGTACAACGGCCGAAACGTTGTGAATATGCCAATAAAGATGAGAACAACAGTCCGATCGATGTAAATAGTGTAAAATGGCACAATACTTCATCTCAGAAATATAGACAGATATAGGGAGCACTTATTTAGAAATGTTAATACTCCGCCATTTAATATTGCATTGAATTGACTTTCTTCAGTGTGCCTGTGCAGTAGACTCAGGAGTTGCTTACTTCATATATATATATATATATATATATATATATATATATATATATATATCGATTTAAATTTTTTTTTTTTTAATTTTTTCTTTAGGAACCTTTCGGCCAACACTTCGTGGAAATGAAAACCTTGGCGTAGTTTATAACGAATAAAGACAATTCACGCAGTAATGAAAAAAAGAGGTGACGAGGGAAAATTGTGGACCACGATTAAAATATATTTATTGGTGAAATAATTTACGAATAAAAAATAAATCGTTCCAAGTGAGTTTAAAATGGAAAAAATTGTACTCATGGACCTCGTAAAATATTGTAGGAGAGAGTAAAATGCTCCTTCTCTTTGCACAGAGCCGGTTGATATAATTTAATATCGACCGCTTCAAGCGGTCATAAATGATGACCGGCCTGAGCTCTGTGCAAAACTGTCAAAGAATTGTTCATATATTCACTCGCACAGTCTAGGCTATGAAGCAAGTGCTGTCCAATGTCCGAATCATGCGCAGAATGAGTTACTCTCCAAGAGTGACTGAGACAATCCATTTTTATACTCGCAGGAATGTGCAGATTAATTCGGTTTTCCAGTCGATGATTGATTTGTCCTACGTATTCAGCTTCACACTGACATTTGAATGTGCACACAATTGAACTGTTTTGAAAACAGCACAAATCATCTTTGACAAATGAGGGAAACACCGAATAAGTCCCCTGAAGCAATACTCCATTTGGCAGTTGAAATTCTGATCTAACACAATCTAGCCACGGTAATTTTAAATAAACAGGTTTTTTAAAGCATTTAATCTTACGCACAACAACGCATTTTCTTTCATTAAACATATTTTAATCGTTTTCCACAATTTGCCACCTCATCTCTTTTTTTCATTACTGTGTGAATTGTTTTTTTTCGTCAGAAATTGCGCCAACGTTTTCCATCCGACAAAGGTTACTAAAAGAAAATTGCCTTCGTGGTTTTTTTAAATAGGTATTTACATTCTGTGCTATTGCGTCCTTGTTCATATATATATATATATATATATATATATATATATATATATATATATTGGTTGGATAGATGTGAGTTTGTGACCCTGGGTTTCACAGCTCTATCTCTGATATTGAGCGCTTTCTAATAAGTACCATTCATATAATATATAAATAATTATACATATATATATATTTATTTATATTTATATACACTTTTTACATATTATATATATATATATATATATATATATATATATATATATATATATATATATATATATATATATATATATTTTTTATGTTTATACGTTCTTTTTTATAGATACAAATATTTAAGTAAATGCTCTGTTTATAATAAACAGTATTAAATAACATTTGCCGGCCTGAATGTCTGAGAAATATTGTCAAATAACGTCACGCATTATGAAATGGACAAAAGTCCGACAATTATTTTTAAAGAAATTTTTTATGACGTCATTTGTTTACATTTGGATACTCATTGAGCAGATATGAATGTATGTGAGAAAATCATAGAGAATTGTGTTTAAAAAAAGTAAAAAAGCTTCTCTGTAGCTCAATCGGTTAAGGCACGTCAGGCTATATGACAGTTCCGTATAGGAGACAGGTTCGATTCCTGTCAGAGGACGCACATTTTCTATGACAATTTCTCGGACATTCACGCCGGTAAATGTTGTTAATACTGTTTATTATAAACAGAGCATTTACTTAAATATTTCTATCTCTCAAAAGAACGTATAAACATAAAAAATGTCTTAAAAATAATTGTCGGACTTTGTAAATTTCATTATATATGTGTGTGTATTTCGGAATTAGCTTTTAATTCATAAAAGCTTAGATAAAAAGCGATGTCATGGAATACCTATTGACTTACTCCATCAAATGTACAATTTTTGATACAAGCCAGCCTCGTCGAAAGTGTTACGCTTCTCTTTTTTTTTTTTTTTTTCTCTCCCCAATTCCTGTTAATTATCTTTAGTTTTATCGCACTTTGGTGTTTGCTTTCTGTGTTTTACTTATTACACACCTTTTCCTTCTTGAAAACTTATTTTACCTGTGACACCTTTACAGACACTCACACATCTTGGCATCTAGATTTGGCTTTACATAATATGGTCAGAATAGCGATGGCCTGTGGAATGTAATTAATGGAAGATCAAGAAGAAAAGGAAGAGGAAGAAGGTAAGACTGAAGAAAATGAAGGAAGGAAGGAAAGAAGAAGAAGAAGAAGAAGAAGAAGAAGAAGAAGAAATTTCCCTGGAGAATGTAAATATGAAGTTAAAGGAAATGAAGGAAAAAAATGTCGTAGGCAAGCGAAGATGAGTAAAAAGAACAAAATATTTATATAAGCCGTAGAAAATGAAGGAGGAAAAATCTGTAAAAAAAAAAAAAAATTGGAAAGGAGAAGAAGAAGAAATAAAGAAAAAGAATAATAAAGAAGGAGTATAAGAAGAAGAAAAAAAAAGAATTAAAACAAAAGAAGAGGAAACGAAGTGATTGAATTGAATAACTGAAACCAGAATAAAGAAAGGAGAGAAGAAGGCGAGAAGGAAAAGGAAGAGAATAAAAAATATTCGAAGTTAAAGAATGAAAAATAAAAATAAATTCACGCCGAAGAAGAAAAGAATTAAAAATAAAGCAGAAGAAGAAGAAGAAGAAGAAGAAGAAGAAAAAGAAGAAAAAGAAAAAGAAAAGAAGAAGAATGTAGAGGAGAAGGAGGAGAAGAAGGTATAGCAAAGACAAAAGAGGAATAAGAAGCAGAAATAAAGAGTAGGGAGAATTAGAAAATAAAAAAAAAAAAAGAAAAGTAAGATGAACGCAAATATCAAAAAGAAGAAAAAAAGAAATGGTAGAGAAACAGAAGACTAAATAATAATAATAAACAGCAATAAAGGAATGGAAACAAGCATTGATGAATGTATAAAGAAAAGGCTCTCTTGGAAAATCCGTTAGTATGATCGTCATGTGACAGGAAAAAATACCCTGACAAACACATGCCTTTTTTGAGAGTTATGTAAAAGAATTCTGTTTGTGTAACGGCAGGGCGTTGCGACCCAAATTGAATTTTCATGTTTATTTGATGTTGTCAGCTGAGCACGACCTCCCGTCAGTCAGGGTTACGAACCGCGACTCGAACATAAGCGACAAAGGGAAGTAAAGAGAAAGAAAGAAAAGGAGACGAAAAAAAGAAAAGATTAATAAAGATGAAGTCGCAGAACGATAACTGTTGCCTGAAGTGTAGTTGTCGCTGAGACGCGTGGAATTAATTTCCTTAAGGTAAAAGCGATATTCAGGATTAGAATGATATCAGAGAGAGAGAGAGAGAGAGAGAGAGACACAGACAGACAGATAAAGAGATAGAAATAAATGCAAATGTTGAATAATGTGCATGTAGCATTAATATATTGCACATCAGCATTTGACGAAGTGCAACACAAAGATCTGTTTGAACTGCTAGAATTTATTTATTTACGACTTATCTATTTTTTGCGGGTTATTTATAGCCAGAAAATGTTTTAAATTGTAATTTATTTTTTTAGAGATAATAATTCTTTACAGATAAAAGTCCAAACTAATTAGCCCATATATGGGGGGAAGAGATGTGGATTAGCACATTCCTTAAGAGTATTTACAATTGAAGTGAATATAACGAACCCCATTGAAATTAAAACACGGTTCTGATTTCAGATTCCAAGCCTTTATCCATTTGTTGTGTCTCGTGTTTTTGAGATAACAGAAAGAAATAAGGAAGACAAACTCATAGGTAAGTAATAAAATAGAAGATTTACTACACGAAGGTACACTTAGCAATGGACCGAATCCTAACTCGATATATACCGGGGCTCCCCACAGAGCAGAATGTGGCACTAGGCCGGTTAACGTGGGTATTTCCGAGCCCGCAGGCCCGGGCAAAAATTCCCCTTAGACCTCGTAATAACAGGGTCGGGTTTGTCTACCTCCAGACGAGGATATGCTGAAGGGTAGTGTCTCTTCTGGGTTACTCTCTGCCCGAAGGCAATGAGTTCGACAAGCACGAAGAGCTTAGCGCGCAGCTAAGGCCGAATGCTAACTCTGTATTTACCCGTCCTCCTCACAGAGCGGGATGTGGCACAATGTCGTTTTAACGCGGGTTTTCCGAGCCTGTAGGCCCGGGCAAAAATTCCGTAAAACCGGGGTCGGATTTGTTTAACTACCCAGACGAGACTCTGCCCTTCGGCATAGCCTCGTTTGGGTTCGCCGCGAAGACCTAATGCTAACTCTCCGCTTATTTAGATATACAGACGATTCCATTTATTTATGTCCTATATAATCCTATATATGTCCTAGAAAATCAACATTTGATGTCCTGATTTTTTTTTATCTGGATTCAAACACCAGTAGGAAATAGAAGAGCAGAAAACATTTCTGGGCAATCTTTGTAAATTAATTTTATTAACTTTATCCCAAATAATAATTTGGTATATAGGGTATTGTATTACTCAACTGTGTTCTTGTTGTATTTCGTGTTTTCAGGATAACAGAGGGAAATAAATAAGGAAGACAAACTGATAGGTAAGGTGATTTACTTGACCCACACACTGAGTCAGGTTGTGACACAAGGTTGGTTTAATGTGGGGAACCCGAGCGCGCTCACTCAGACTAAAGACAAAAATTCCCCGGCCACTCCCAACCACTGTGCCATGTGTCTTTGAGCATATTTGTGTATGAATTTCTGGGTATTATAAACCTAATGTCTTCAGCAACCATTTTTATTTTTGCTGTTATCATTGCATGATTTTACCAGAGCTCATATTGCAACTAACTTAGCTGATCAGTGTTTCAACGTGAGGTGACCGTAAGCATTGATCTTCGAGATCTATTTGGAAAAGATGTTAGAATAATCCAGACCTGACAACAAACCGCCTGAATACAAAATAGAAAATGATTTGAGTATCTATACAAAACTAAAAAGTGGCGTTAGACAAGGATGCGTCTTTTCCCCAGGTTTATTCCACTGCTACAGCGACGCTGTCCTAAGGGAACTGGAGATCTTACCAGGATTTATTACCTGTGGACGTAATCTTAACAATATATGATACGTCGATAACACTGTACTGATGGCCGATTCGGAAAGAAAACTACAGAACCTCCTAGACAAGGTGGTAGAAGAAATCGAGAAAAAGAACTAATCAACTGCAAGAAGAAAGTGTGACCGTCAACAAAATAAAAAAAGGCCATGATATGATTTATAAATTGGAGGTGTCAACATCAAGCAAGTGCGGAAGTTTAAATATCTAAAAATTGTTTTAACAGACGATGGAAAATACGGCACCGAAATCCAAACACGCATTGAACTGGCGAAAGAAGCGTTTCGAAAGCTAAGCAAAGTAATAAGAAACAGGAAAATTTAGTTAGAAACAAAAAAATAGTCTTAGATTGATATGTGATATCCATCCTCTTATATTGTAGTTAATGCTGGACAATATCTCCACGGATTGGGGAAAAACTAGAGGCAGTAGAAATATGTTTCTGCAGAAACATACTAAGAATACCATGGGTGGAGTGTTAAAGCAATCAGAAAGGCTTAAACAAAACAATGAAAAGGACGCTTATACACAGAGTCAGGAAAAGACAATTGGAATTCCTTGGATACATAATGAGGTAAAAGGGCTTAGAAAATTTAACCCCCACAGGACTGTTTTTAACTTAGGGAGTGTTACTGAATAGAATAATCACACGAAGGTTGGTAATGAACGATAATACTTAGGACAAGAACAACACATATAAGATTAGCCAGCGGCGCGCAGAAGTAGTAGTCAACTGCTAGAAGTGAGTCAAATGAACTCCGCAATGAATCTCCAACTGCAGGATATCTACCAACCACCCTACGCGGTCAGATGTGGCACAAGGCTGAATTTAATGTGGGGTAACCGAGCCCCTCTGGTATGACATCTTCATTATTCCCATGCGTTTTACGAATTCTGTGTCAAATTTCCCGTTCTTTGTTACACTTAAACACTCAAGGACGGTGTAACGGTCTCGTGACCCCGAATCTACGATACGAAGCCACCCATTCTACTATATCTCAATTGTCATAAGGTAGAATTTATATAAAATACAAATTTTATTTTAAACTAATTATGTACAATAAGGGATCACATGCAATATAGATGGACAATTCAACTAGAAAACTTGAAAATAAATCCAATGTATCTCAATGCAAATTAGAGACATATCATAATAGATCATTCCATCTTAAATAAAACAAAAATGTTTTGCGGTAATATTCAACATCAACTTGTGATTTGTAAAAAGGTTGAATAATTTTAATAAATTAAATATTATGAATAAAAAATAATGAATTTTATAAAGGGTTTTCAAGCTTTGACATGAACAAAACAAATTCAGGGAATTGGACAAAAACATGTCCAGAATGATTGTCAAAATCCGCAAAGATTTTTCATCCTTTTATTGTCAGATGTACTTTGTTATATAACGTATATAAATGTAGGTTGAAAAAAGAAAATGTTGATAAGAAAGCGAAGATCCCCAAATCAGGCTTTCGCCCAGTTCGAGGGTAGTATGAACCGGCCCTGAAGATTGTTAAAATTATGTACCTACCTCTTTCTTATATATTCTCACAAGGGTCTACATTTGTTACTGATGACTATAAATTCTGTCTTCTTATAGTTAGTTCTTCTCGCGTTCTTTAATTACCTGGTTTTGGAGTTCTTGCAATTTCCTTTCTGCGCCTGCTATCAACACAGTTTAATCTTATGTTGTTAAGATAATTAATCCTGGTAGGAGCTCTAGTTCTCTTAGGATCACTTTGGTTGAATGAATCCAGCGAGAAAACGCTTCCTGTCTTAGGCCTCATTCCATTTTTGGATACTTGCTCAAAAAGAAGATGACGAAAGGAAAAGAAGGAGATGAAGGAAGAAGAAGAGGAGGAGGAGGAGATGAAGGAAGGAAGGAAGGAAGGAAAGAAGAAGAAGGAGGAGGAGAAGGAAAACGGTGATGAGAGGGAGGAGGTGGAGGACGACAATGAGAAGGGCGAGGAGGAGGTCGACGACGAGAAGGAGGGGGAGGAAGAGAAGAAGAAGAAGAAAAAGAAGAAGGCAAAGACATGCGTGAATAAGAAGGAGGAAGAGAAGAAAAAGAAGGAGGGGGAAGAGGAGAAAAAGAAGGAGGGGGAGGAGGAGGAGAAGAAGAAGAAGAAAAAGAAGAAGAAAAGGAAGAAGAAAAGGAAGAAGAAAAGGAAGAAGAAAAAGAACAGCAAAAACAACAAAAGAAAAAAACAAGAAGAAGCTTTATTTAGACAAGAAAACGTGATTTCTCAAATGATACTTTCACGAACGGAGAATTCTGCTGTGTCTTTTTTTTATTGTTTCTACTTTTACAATTTCATTTCTACCTTGACGAGTTAATCTACGTGCAATTTGGTTGGTCACGATTCGGTTTTCATCATAGATTAATTAGGAGATTCAATCAATGTATTGTATCGTACCTTTTCACGCGCTTTTATATTTGATGACACACCCTTATAGTTGACGGAATCCTAACTACGGGCGTCTTCCAACGACGTCGTTTTACATGAAAACCAGTGTATTCGATTGGCGTTTGTGTGCATTCGGAGACAATTGCATTCTTATCTATATTCTTAACTTTCTAAAGACTTGAGCATGCGCACATTACTAGAAACTTTAAGCACATTCCGTTATTTATATGCTGCATATAGTTTGGGCACTTCGAGGCGGTGTAATGGTTAGCAAGCTTGTTTCGCTATGACAATTAGCAGTTAGTTCGATTCTCACGGTGTGCCCCTTACTTTCGGCCTTGTGCCACATCTGAGCTACGCTTGGAAAATCCAAGAGTTTATGTTCATGTGATGTTTAACGTGTATCTTTTTTTCAAATTTCTGAAATATTATTTTTTAATGTCTAACAACCCTTTTCAGTCGTTACCTGTATTGTATAATTAAGTGCATTTAAAAAGATTGGCTGAGAAGTGTTTACATGACTTGAGAATCGAGCTTTAAAACGTTTGATTTTAGTTGTGCTTGAACATCGACGACTGGCAATGGTTGGAAATACAGAAATATCTCAGTCACCAAAAAAAAAAAAAAAAAATGAATAAAATAAACCTAATCTTTTTTTATGAAACGATAAACGGATAACAGGTTGTCCTGGGAAGGTAAAGAATTAAAGCTACATAACATGTTAGGGATACTAGCAAATCAATTGGAAGAAAGAGTGAAAAGTTGCTATCAAGTGATACAAACTACGAAGCAGGCAGCGAATTTCTTAGTTTTACGGCATATCAACCTCAATGGGTTATTTGATGCCGACAAGATTTTTATTGCTGGCAATTTCTTTTTTTTTTAAATGTATTTCTGGCATTTTTTTAATGTATTGCTGGTAATTATTTTCCAAAAATCTATTGCTAGTATTAAAACCTATTTTTATACTTTCATAATGTTTGGCCCCTTTTCGTTTCGTTTCGTTTATAGTATATCAGCCTTAATGGGTTTTTTAATGCTGACAAGATTTTTATTGCTGATAATAAGTTTTTTTTTTCAAATATGTATTGCTGGTAATAATTTTTTTGCCCAAAATGTATTGCAACCCCTTTTGTGTGGTTAGCTATTTGCCCATAGCTGGAACCCTAACAGGTGCTACCACCCCGGGTCACGGTGTACCTGGGATCACTAGCAATGAAAATGTGGTTCCAAACTCCTCAAAACCTTCTGATGAAAGGCCTTACTGTTGGATGTAATTTATCGTCATACCCAGGACGGTCGAGAGGCTTGTTTCATTGATGGATTCTTTTCAGATATACAGATGACAGAGAAATTGATTTTGACATTCTCATTTGAATTATATTTTTTTTTGGTAGAGGCTCACTGTTTTTAGAAACAATATGTCATCCACTTTTCCTTTGTCGCAGATCACATACATATTTATAGTATAGCATTTTCATCTTCAGAAAGCAAGTTCTGAACACTCAATATATGCATAAGAGTGTTTGTTACGGTGGAGTAATGGATAGCGGATAATAGATTGAGGAATCGTAGAGCCGGGTTCGAATTCCATTCATTTACGTGTGAATACCCTTGGGAAAGGTATGAATCTTCTTCTTCTTCCATCAGCTATGGGTAATTAGCAGGACAGACCGGATTCTATAGGCTTAGATGGCAACTGGTCTACCGCAGAAAGAAATGGCAACCTACTCTAGGAAAAAAATCTGCATCGTCCGTCATGTATCGAAAGATACATGATCATCTAAGCGTGTATCATGCATGGCACATAACTGGCTGTTTCACATGCTTGGCATACTGGTTGATCTTCTTGCTAAGCAACGAAGATCAACCAGGGTTAGTATTACTTCTTCTTTTCAAGATTTTCTGAAAGACAATTTTCATTCTCCAAGCTGAATTACGAAGAGCTTATTGTGTTGTTATCCCCTCCAAAACCGTTGCAATTCCTTCTGAATGTACACGGTGTCCATAAAGTTCGTATGCACTTTAAAAAAATTATAACTTTAAAGTGCACACGAACTTTATGGACACCATGTATTTGTTAATGACTTCCTTAAATTCGGTGTACGGTATTTTGGTTGTTGAATCTATATCCATATCTAAAGCTGATTTGGTTGCTAGGTCTGCTTTATTGTTACCTTTCACTCTGTTGTGGCTAGGAATCCAATATAATTTAGCAACTCATTTGATTTGTTTGTGTTTATTTTGTTTTACGGCATATCAACCTCAATGGATTATTTAATGTCGACAAAATTTTATTGCTGGTAATTTTTTTTTCAAAAAAGGTATTGCTGGTAATAATGTATTTCTGGTAATAATTTTTTACAAAAAATTATTTCTAATATTAAAACCTATTTTTACACTTTCATGGTGTTTTGACCCCAGTTTGCTGGTTAATTATTTGCCCATAGCTGAGACCCTAACAGGTGCTACCACTCTGGGTCAGGGTGGACCTGGGAACACCAGCAATTAAGTGGCGGTTTCACACACCTCAAAACCTCCTGATCAGAGGCCTTGCTAATGCACGTAGTTTATCATCTTACCCAGGACGCGGATGTAGTTTATCGTCATGCCCAGGACGGTTGACAATTTCAAAATCAAGTACGAAAAATTAAATATATGGGAAGTGTTTTAAAGAATGGTAAGTCTGGCACCGGAATCTGATGGTGTATTGGAATAGCAAGAGATGCCTTTCAAAATCTGAAGAAAGTGTTAAGAACCTAAAAAAAAAAAAATGTTTCTTTAGAAGAGTCCTGAACTGCTACGTAATATAAATCCTAATATTAATATTAGATATCCATAAGTTCAAGACAATTTCCTTACAAATGAATTGATTTATTCATTCATTTTCATGTGAGGGTTATTTAAAGCCAGAAAACATTTCCAGAGTGTCAGATTTTGTTTTTCGAGATAATAATGATTTAGCAATACAGTCAGTTATGTGCCATGCATGATACACGTTTAGGCGATCATGTATCGAAAGATACATGACTGACGAGGCAGATTTTTTCCCGCAGTTGGTCGCTATTTCTTTCTACGGTAGACCAGTTGCCATCCAAAGCTATAGAACTCGGTCTGTCCTGCTATTTACCCATAGCTGGAGGAGGAGAAGAGGATTCATATCTACAGCTTATCAACCCTGTGAAAGTTATTTAAATCCAGAAAACATTTCCAGAGTGTAAGATTTTATTTTTCGAGATAATAATTATTTAACAATACAGTCAGTCAGTTATGTGCCATGCGTGATCCACGCTTAGTCGATCGTGTATCTTTCGATACATGACTGACGAGGCAAATCTTTCCCGCAGCAAGTTGCCTTTTTTTTCTGCGGTAGACCAGTTGCCATTTAAGGCTATCGAACCCTGCTATTTACCCATAGCTTGGTGGCGGGGAAAGAAGAAGCAGGGACAAGTCTTACTAATTAACCTATATCTTGTAGCGGAAGAGGAGGATTTATAACTTTCACAGCTGTATTTGCGCGTAAGTGAATACAACGAACCCAACTGGAATTGGAACTCGGCTCTCCATTATTTATTGCCCCACCCGCACATTGATGCTTACTTCAGCTGGTATCCCCAAACGGTCACCCATCTAGGTATTGACCAGGCTCGACGTTGCTTAATCATAATAGTACGGGGACCACTTTTTCAACGTAATGCAGTCATAAGCCCTCACAGATGAAGGGGAAATTTGAAGCAGTAGATATGTTGTTCTACAGAAGGATGTTGAGAATACTATGGACAGAGCATGTGAAAAATGATAAAGTTTTAAGAAAAAGGGCAATAAAAAGTGCACTTGTGCGTAGAATCAGAAAGGGACAGTTGATGTTTCGGTTTGGTTTGGTTTACGGCATATCAACTTCAATGAGTTACTTAATGCCGACTAAATTTTTATTGCTGGTAATATTTATTTTTAAAAAATGAATTGCTGTTAATTTTTTTTTAAAGTATAATTGTTTTTAACGTATAGCTGATAATAATTTCTTTTCAAAATGTTGCTGGTAATAATGTTTTACAAAGTATTTCTGGTATTAAAACCTATTTTAACATTCTCATAGTGTTTTGACCACAGTTTGGAGGTTAACCATTTACCCATAGCCTGGATCTTAACAGGTTCTACCACTCAGGGCAAGGCTGGACCTGTGAACACCAGCAATTAAGAAGATGGTTTCACACTCCTCAAAACCTCCTGATCAGAGGCCTTGCTGTTGGATGTAGTTTATCGTCTTACTTTGGGCGCGGATATAGTTTATCGTCATGCCCACGACGGTGATGTTTCGGAAACGCGTAAGGAGAAAAGAGGGCTTGGAAGATTTAACACCCATAGGACTTATTGAAAGCAAAAGGACAGAATAAAAAAAAATAACCTACTCAACGGATTTTTGTTGATAGATGGAAGCACAAGTATTAGGAGGAACAGTAAGTGGACAAACATTGTTTGGCGTTACAAAGAAGAGGAAGATGTAGAGAGCCATGATCAACGATTGCGGTACATAGAAGAGGATTTTCTCACAATGTAGGTGTGGTTTGCCTCACGATTCTGAGACGGTGAGACCATTTCTCTGCTTTGCGCTTGTACTTTTCAAAACGGTAACAATCCAACTCCCCATCAAACTCTGCTTAAAATAAGAGAGAAAATTTGAGACTCTAGACTTGTTTTGTAACCAGTCGACACGAAAGATAACTCGAAAATTAGGTATCCGAATCACTCTTATTCCCAAGCTATCGGTAGAAAATTGAGCCCTAATATAGAAATACTGTCAGCGAATGGTAGTTTCCACACAAAAAAACCGTTCACCAATTTTCAGGCCAAGGGTGGCTACTACAGTACTATCCTTAGTCACAGTATCGATGTCAGTGATATCAGACGAAAGGATACGGGAGTGCATCCTTCTGCTACAATGAAACAAAAAGCCTGAATTTATGATAATTTACTCAAGAGCCGATTGAAAAAAGATTTTCCTCTGTGCTATTCACTAGTGTGTCGTGTTAAACAAAGTCTCCATCGAACGAGCGGTGGGTTCATTAAAAACTATGACATCTTTCAAAGATTCTTCATCAATCATATTCGATTTGATTAATTCAGAATTGTCTGCAAGATTTTTGTTTTTGATTCCTGTCTTTATAAAATTTCCCCGTTTCTATCTACTTTCTTTTGTTTGAATTTTCTTCCATGACTTTCCTATATTCGGGTAATTTGGTTTTTCCAAGCTCGTAATAAATGCAGTTACGATATTAATTTCGTGGTTTCTGGTGGGTCTGTTTGAAAGGAAGATTGTTGGAGAAATAGGGAAGAAAATTCCACCGTTTTTTTTTTCTCTGAATAATTGAATTTCAACCAGAACATATTTATCAATCGATCGGTTAGTCGACAAAATTTTGTCTCATTATTTTTTTTTATTTCTTCCTAATTTATTTTAGCAGTGAATACTGATCCAGACATTTTCAAATAGATAGACTTACAAATTGAACACGGAAGAAAATTATAAAAGTCATATATAAATGGAGATAGATAGATAAATAGATAAACAGACTGTAATAGGTATCGACAGTGATAGATCTGAACATAGCGAGACAGGCATAAAGATATATAGATAGATATAAACTGATTTGAACAAACTGAGATAGATATTAACAGACTGAAATAAATATCAAAGAATAATTAGCAATATTATTTGGCCTGCATCTGTCTATATTTTTTAGATGAGGTATTATGTACACTATTT